TTGTTAAGTATTTTCTGACCATTGTATTTTGTTAAGTATTTTTTTTTCATTTTTTTGTTAGAATTTTTATTTTTTTTTTCAATTTGTTACCAAAAGAAAGTTAAGTATTTTAGTTTTACTTAGCAAAAAGAATCAAAATATCAAAAAAAATAAAAAAACAGTCTAACCCGGTTTAACCAAGGCCCCTGCCCAGCCCAACATGAGCCAGACCCATAGCATAGCCTACAGCCCACTTAGCCCAAACTCGTGGCTCGGCATAGCACAACATGAGCCCATACAGGATCGGGTTGTAGGTCATACTAGGCCAACCCCCCAACTTATCTCAAGGGAAAGAAGCATAGCCCACATGCCGGCACGGCATTACACACTCTTTGCATGGGCCACAGGCAAGCCATGCCATACTGGCCCAACATGGCCCGATTTACACTCTACATAGTGGTATGGGTCCGACTATTGAAATTAAAAAATTGACTCCTATACCTTTAGATGTTGTCTCTCCTCATCTCTTCCTTCCCTTTTGTGACCCTAACTTGGAGGAGCTCATGCATCAATCAAATGCATCCATCATGTACCAAAAGACCAGGCTCAGGAGAATCTTTGCTTTGGTCGAATCTTTCTATCATATCACATCCCAACAACATAGCTCGAAGTTTAATTGGATAACAAAATAGATGGATTTGGATTCATGGAAATGACTCTGAAGCCGAGCCTTCTAGCTTTGGGAGTATAACTGCAAGAATTTTAATTACTCCAGCCCATTCATCTCAAGATGAAATTTTGTGAAATACATACGAACGTCTCCACCTCCACACAAGCAAGGCCAGGTCAATAACAAGCTAAATAAAGTAACATGGATGGTGTTAAATGGATGAAATTCCGCAATTATCTTATTGTATTTAAAATGATTACAAATTTTAAAAATAAAATAACCCAATTATTTTTGACTTATATGTATAATATGTATATATATAGTAAATTTATCAATTATAAATTTTATATAATTATGCATAATATTTATACATGCATAATTAAATTATATATACATAAAATAATAATTTTTATCGGATTTGGATTTTAATTGGATCGGATGGGGTTAAATTCGCATCCAGTCCAATTATTAATCGGATTGAAGTTCTAACATCCAAATCCGAGATAATCAGATATAGAGTCGAATCGGGCATCGAACTTTCGAAGTCCATTGACATCCCTAAGAGGAAAATTGATGTCTGTATCTAATATAAGAAAGGCTTTCAGAAAATTGGTTTAGCTTCACATTTAAGATTTTTTGGACCTAGTTCAACTTCTGTTGGTGGACAATGTTAGCCCTCTTGGCACATCCAATCCATGGCTGCTGACTACAAGAAACTCCTTCGAATTTGAGGTTTTTGATTATATATATTAAATATTATTCATAATATATATGAAATTATTTATATATCAAAATATATTTAAAATATTATCTATATTTTAAAATTTTTATTTATTATAAATAAAATTTATTTTTCAAAAAATAATATTAATTAAAAATTTTCAGAGATTCAGGTTGCTCGTTGGGAACCCATCCCATTAAGGATCAGGGATGGAGGACAACTTTTATTACTGATGGGAATCAAAGTCAGGTATAGAGACTTATTACAAAATTGGGGACAGGAATGGGAGATATGATCCTCGCCCTGTTGCTATTCCTACTCCTTTTATCCAATTAGGCGAATGCACTCCCTTTTATCCAATTAACTCAAGGGCTTTGCCCCAAAAATAATAAAAAATTAAAAAAAAAACAAGTCTAATTTAACCTCCCAACTCAAATAAAAGTTAACCAAAAGGATTTTAAAGACATTGCATTTCTATAGGGCCATTTTTATAGATAATGTGTTTTGTTAATCAAATGCAAATCAAACATAATTTTATATCCAAAATCAAATAGAACACCCATTCTTTAAAGCTTACCATGTGAATGGTGGGTACTAGCAAATAAACATATGCAGCTAATAATTTCTAGTTTTCTACGTAAGAAATACCTGAAAATATTTGTGGCTACGTGGACACAGTACCCTAGGGTCAGTACCTTAAAGTATATCTCTCTCTATCTCTCATGTAGTACCAGAAAAAGAAAAAGGAAGATAACACCAGAAAAAGAAAAAGGAAGAAGAGGATCGTTGAAGCAAGGTTAAACGGACAAAAAAGCATAGGTAGGGACAGATTGGTTGAACAGTCAAAAACAAAAGAGTAGATTAAAAATAGAAAAAAAAAAAAAGGAAGATAAGTCTTTTCCAACTCCCAAATCAAGTCTCTCCACAAGTCCACCCTCTAAAGTAATTTCAACCTCAATCACTTCGGTTGTCTTTTCAAGTGGACCAGTCGTAAAAAAGCAAGTAGAGAAACATCAATGATCAATCACAATGGATGTCTCCATTGTCCTTACCTCAAGCATTCCTTTACAGGGAATGTGCCCTCTTAGCCCATCCGTCCTCAGTCTTTTAATGACCATCCCCATTATCTCGTATGAAATTTTCATCTCATCAGAAATTAAAGCATCCACCACTCTTTTTCTAGGTGAAACTAAACTTCTAAACCTTTCTAGCTAACTTATAATGGTTGATTGATAATATATTAAATTAAAGTATCCACCAAATCAGGCTCAACTTGGGAAAAGTACAAATGCAAATATATATGTACAGTGTAAATGTATATAATATAATACAAAATAAAAGATTTTACTCTCTATATATTTATATTTGTACTTCTTCTAAAATGAGTCTTACATTGTGTTTAGAATCGGTGTAAATCAAGAACGATGTAAAAGTTTATACCAGCTTGGTTTTATTGACGTTTGGAAGAAGTGTAAATAAAGATTGATGTAAAACTTCACTCCGGTTTAGATTTGTTGACATTTGGATGGAGTGAAGTTTTACATTATGAATTAATATAAAATTTCATCAAACATAAAATTTTACATCGACTATTGATGTAAATACTACATCAATTTTATGATATAAAACCTTACACTTTTTTTATCACGATTTTCAAAATTTAATGATCACCTATTATACGATTTAATGTAAAACACCGTCAGTGTACTTTTACACCAATGATGTTTTACACCAAACCTAAACGAAGCCTTAGTTTAGTGCAATGGTTAGGTTGTTTCTTTGCAATACCTGGTGATGAGAGTTCAAATTTTGAAAACAGCCTTCTCTCTATGTATGTAGAGGGATAAGACCCTATACATTTGTCCCTCCCCATATATCCCGCATCGGCAGGAATTAATCTTGTGCACTTAGCTGTTTTTTTTTTTTGATAAATGAAGGCAGTGTGTTTTTTTTTTTTCTTTTTTTGGGGGAATCACTATTCACGTGGCAATCTTAAAAGGCTTTTCTCTGGAAATTCTATTTCACTTATGAAACTAAACTAGGTTTGAAACATACAGGTTAGATCTAAAATGGTATTCACATGGTTTAGACATACTATGTGCACACGTGGTAACTCTTGACACATTTAGGGAGTTCAAATCAGCCCATGAGAACTCTATCCACACCTACCCACAATACACTATCCCTGTGAATTGGGAACATCTCCCCCTGCATAATACTATGCAGAGGATGAGATGTTCTCCATGTATGGTTGAGATAAACGTGGGCAAAGTTTTCGTAAACAGGAGATCCAGACTCCCCACAAAATTGCCCCCCCACTCACAACGTCCCACATACATTCCTGTCATGTATTAGGAACATTCCCCAAAATGATATCATCATTTCTAATATTATCATTGAAAAATATTTCTAATACACGATGGGGATATGCTGTTGGGGGCAATCTTATGGGGGCTGATTTGATCTCACATTTAGGTTGTGTTTTTTTATTTGATTTAATAGATTAAATTAGGTCTGATTATGAGCTAACTTTCCGATTTGAAGTAGGAAACAAAACGACTTTGGAGATAGAGTAAAACCCATACTACTATACTTTTACATTGAATTAAAATCTATTTAACCCCTAAATTAACTCTGAGTGTTACTGCCTAGGCATGCAAATGTGTTTGAAGAAGGCAGCTTCCCGTGGTGTAAGAGAGAGTGACTAATGAACTCATGCTTAGCATAGGGAAAGTATTTTGTTTGGGACCCACTGTTCACATGATAAGTCTTGGAACCTCTGTAATTTTACTTGAAGTAGGAAATAATAGAATTGTACAGCTAGAGTGAGACTCACTCCACCCAACATATAATTTTTATTATTTTGAATTAAAAATATAATTTATTTATTACACAGACATTATATATATATATATATAGTGAATGAGAAGCCTAATCACGTGTCCATGTGTTTGAAAGATAGTATGCAGGTCATCAACAGGTTTCCCTCACCTGCAGGCACAGTATGCATGGCATGCACTGTCAACAACAGTCATCAACCTAAGCTAAGCTTTAATTTGTAGGCGTATAAAAAAAAAAAAAAAAAAAAGGAATTCAGTTTCATGGCTTAAAAGGAAGCCCCAATACAGCTACAAGTGTCACTTTTTGGGATCTGCCTTACAAAACAAAGACAATAGATAAACCACTCGATCTTTAGTTTGTTGAATTGTGATGAGCAAGTAGGAATTAATATTTGGCATTATAATTATAATATCAAAATATTGGCAAAATACCCAGTAGGCTATACAGCTATAGTAAAGTTTTTAACCAAAGTATATATACTTAATAAGCTGGAGTAGTGTAAGGTTGGACTTGGAGTAAAAAGCATATAATGGAAATCACATGGGTGTTTCACCTGTGAATGATGTTATCTTCGCCAACAAACAACATTTAAGAAAATCCTAATTATTCAACCAGCCTATGCCTGTGCCTGTGTGGCCCGTGCTCTCTCTCTCTCTCCTACCTTGATCCATGAGTACGGAGGGTTTTTGACTTTGCAGGGCAGTGACCCTCTCTGGTTGGTTGGATTAAAGTTCAAAAGAAAGAGAGGCCTTTGCTCACTTCACAAGGCCTAGGATTCCTTTTCTTATTAGGCCTCTCTCTCCCTATCTCTCTCTCTCTCTTTCTCAATGAGTTTGTCGTCCCAAAATTTCATTGCTTAAAAGGGATTTCTATGCTTGACTTTAGCCCAAGTAAGTGAGTGTTTGCTCCAACAATAAAAAAAGAAAAGTAGTAATTTTACCGCCCACTGATCTAAAAGTCCATAATTAGGATTTTACAGTTTGTTCTTTTGCTACTGGGTGTTAAAACTCAAGTGGGTTTCCTCCCGGAAGATATTCCTTGGGATAGAATATGTATACCGTTACTGATTGTGCTTTGACATTTGCAGCTCTGAGCCATAGATAGTTTCTCAACCTGGGGAGAGCTACGACTGCTGGATTTGTGATAGATTGGTATGTAACTGATGATTATTCGAATAGCCGGCCGCGCCAATGTTGCTGAGAATTTGGTTGGGGTAAAATTATATATGCTTGTTGTTTGTTTCTTCTTCTATTTCCAACCTTTGTGGTTTTCAATTTGTCCTCTCTTATTGTTCCTTATTTCCTTCCCATATGAAATTAAGTAATCTTTTAGAGTTCCAGTACATTTATATTTCTCAACATACTGAATCTATTGAGACGTTTCAGAAGTAAGAGACGAGTTGCCATGGTTATTGTTAGACTGAAATTTTAGCTTTTGCAAGCAAGAGTTCAAGGGTTCTTGTAGAGATCCGGTGTTCTTAAATTTTCTAAGCATGGTCTATTTAATTAAAGGTTGGAAAGTAAGAAATGGGTTGCCTTAGTTACTCTGTTAATAGACTGAAAATTTGAGCTTCTGCAAACAGGTCTTGTTTAATTATGAAGGAGACCCATCAATTGTTTCTTGTAAATTCGTCTCCATACTCAGGTATGTTTCTGAATTAATAAAAGGGAATTGAAGAAACATGAAAGAGTTCCTTGGTCTCTTGACTTGGTGGAAATCTTAGCAAGTAAAAAAGTTAGTTCACTATCACTATTATCATGTTGTTATTGGAGATAACTACTAAGAGTTTCTCAATTGATTGGTCCACCATCACTACTACTATAAATTGATGAAGCACACAATTACTGTAATTTGGTTCATTTAGCAGAGTCAGGATCATCTGCCCACGAGAACTTTGTTCACGCTTACCCACAATACACTACCCCCCGTGAATTAGGAACATTTCCCCTTATATAATACTATGTAGAGGAAGAGATGTTCTCCATGTGTAGCTCCGATAAACGTGGACAGAGTTCTCGTGGGCAGGAGATCCGAACTCTGATAAACGGCAAACACATGCACACACAAACAACAATTTGTGTATATAAAGGATGTCCTTCTTGCATTTCTTCGGTTTTGAGCTTTACTGGTATATCTCATCCACCCTGAGAAACAAATAAAGGACTAGATTTATTACCATTTCTTCGGTTTTCTTTCTTTTTTTTTCCTTCCTTTTCCTCTTTATTTCCTAATTCTTGATGAGACCATCATAGTAATGTAATTACAAGTCCTATAAATGGTGGTTCTTTACAACGATTTTTCATTAATTAATAGGCTCCAATATATTATTCTATTCACTTTTGCTTTGAATTTTACTTTCCTTCAGGTTTTATTTTACTTTACACTGTAAAACAAACAAAACCAAGTGAAATTTGAAACAAAAATATCGGAATTTGCATTCCCATGCTTATGCATCAGTCAAATAAAATTGCACTGCAAACAAACTAAGCCTTAAGAAGAATACATCCATGGTCCAAAAGAAGAAGTGTTCCGGCATGATCACTATCTTATTCAAAATTTCTGCTAAGGCTCTTTGCAGTGCAATTTCATTTGCACCAATACAAATGCATGAGAGTGCAAATGAGAAAAAATGTAAATCCTGTTCTGGTTCACATTGGTTTTGGGTTTTCCTTTACTTTGCTTGGCGTGTTATCCTACTTAATTTGCAATGCAAAAAGACAAAAGAAAGAGCCGAAACCAAAATAAATCAGATTTTCCACTCAAATTACTTGCACTCCCATACTTTTGCAGCAGTACAAATGAAATTTCAGTGCAAACAAGCCAGGCATAAAGGAGGTTCACTTTCCCTTTTCTTCCTCTTCACTAATTATCAAGACTAAATTTTACTAGGTATCCGGTAGAGTAATTGGCCGTGAAATTGTTAATATTTGCTTAAGCACAAGCCTGTATTTAAAAAAAAAATGGAGGTTATTCTAACTTTCTTTTTTTTTATTTTTTATTTTTGGTAAATTAAAGGTTACTCGGTCTTCTCTACTAGTTAGGTTCATACTTGCTGTAAGGTAATCATATTGCAAGGCAGCAGAATGGAATACCGAATACCTAACCTTTTTCTTCTGACGGTGTATTTCGTGGCTATTTTAAGCTGTTAATAGCTTAACGATATTGTAGACCTTAATCCTCACTTGCTGAATGCCACATTGATCACCATTCACATCATCCTTTTATTTGGTAATACATGGCTATCATCTAGCTAGCCGAACTGCATTTTTTTCCCTCCATTTAGCTTTTTGATTGGAGAACAAGAATCTCATGACATGAAAGCAGCTGGAATTTGTAATTTATTGATCATATTGACTGAATATCTTCTTAAAACTGTTTAGTATTTAAAATATAAACCATTGAACGTCTGCAGGTTAATGACCTTAATTATTATGGAATAAACTCTCAGTTCCAGATATTATCAATGGGAAAAAAGAGCAGAACAAACACAGAATACATAACTTACAAAATTAAGAGAAAGAAAAACAATAATAGCATTCTAATTTCAGATAAAGCATACAAAGACATATATGAATCGAACTCAAGTCGATTCCATAACAGCTGACATGGCTGTTGGGTCATGGACTATGTAATAAAGCCCATTACATGCAGGCAGTGCTACAAGAAACCAAAATGCATTCAACACTTACCGAGTCAGACACAGCATACTCGGCCGCACATTCCATCTAATAACTACATTACCTTATTAAGAGTAGGAGTTTCTGTCCTATCACAGTCGGGTGCTGGTCTTTATCAATATTACAAAGAGTAGGCAGAAATCCGACAACTAGGGTTTTATAATTTTAGTTTTATTATGTACAGGAATGTGAATCATGATTTTGTCCATTTGTTTTAAGTTTTACTTCCTATGATTAGTATATAGGTTGAATATCTGTAGTAGATATATATATATATATATATATATCACTTCCACAGATCAATTTGGCAACTGGAGGTGGACGTGGAGGCATATTCCGGCACCAGTTCTTGCTTGTTGGGTTGTCTGACAAGAATGTTCATATGGTCAGATACGTGAAAAACAGCGGCTGCATTGGAATAGTTGGTTTCCTTGGAAGCATCTTCATGGCTGAGCTGAGAGGCAACAAACTTGTCAAGAACCCGCCAGTCCGTGACTTGATCAACTGCTTGCTCGTTGTTGTTGCTGTTGTAGAGAGAGTTCATGTTATGCTGATGATGATTCTGTTGCATCTGTTCTTCTTGCGTTAGGGAAGATTGCAGAGTGCTCCCAGGGTTATTAATGTCGAGTCCATATGCAATGACGGAGTTGCAACTTACACTGGCTGCCGAGTGTGGAAGTTTGGGGCTCTCTAATTGAGGGAGCTGAAGGAAAGCTTCATGAGGCATGTGATACTGCAACCCAAGCTCCTGCTTGCATGCATAGGGGTGGTGGTATGCCATATCTGCAGGCTGAACAATTCGCTTTGGGGAATCCAGATCCGGCATGAATGAGACTTGCTCGTCGTACCAACAAGACGACTCGTCACTTACTTTCCTTATTGTTGTTATTCGCTTCTTGAACACCCTACAGACAACCCAGCCCTCTTCCTGGTGCAGTACTTAAATGAGATTCACATTGATCGTCACTATTGTAATTAAACAAATTCCATCTCAAGGTGTACAAGTACAAGTACTATTATGGTAAAGAAAATGCATAAAAGTCGGATTAAAGTAATGTTGACAATTACATATGCAGAGAACATATATCAACATTTTACTACAGATTTCTGCTGTAAATTTTCTATTAAGTTCAGTTTGGGATTTGCACATATTTGTATATTTGCACTCTTCCCAAACTGAGCCTTAAAGACTATAGTTAAGTGATCCTCAAGATACTGTTGAAATATCTTATTCCTTATTCTTGCTGGATTATCTAATCACATGTAGACATAAAAATACTGAGCAAAACCAAAAGATTATTTTTCTTGCCAAATTCCAATATTTGGAGACTGAGAGGAAGTAAATGGAACTTGTTAAGGTGTCTCTTTTCACTGGGTTAACAGGAGCTTATTGTGAGTAGTGGATAGTAATGAAGTTTGCAGTGATAATTAAAAAAGAAGACAGAATTTTCAGTTCTTGTCTCTCATGGTGTGGAAAAATTTTGGCCAAGTATCTGAGTTTTTTAAGAAAAACTACTTTTCAGATTAACTAGAATGAGCAATCGACTAACTGAGTTCTGAGTGGCCCAACATACTACAAAAATGGTAGGTCAGAATCCCTTCTAACAAATGATAAAAACAAACTACACTTACAATTTTGACTACTTTATTGCCAGGCCATGTTAACATATAACTTTATTATCTGTCATTAATTTTACTAAGACAAAACAGATTATAAATGCTTTGTTAGCTAATAGTGTTGGCATATGAAGCCCTCTTTTAACATATTCTCTCATATTTGATGTTAATGTCATTAATTAGAGCTAGGAATTATATATACGTGATTGGAGTTGGAGACCCTCATGCCATCTTGCTAAACATTTGTTTTTGGATTGTCTTTAAATCAATTTTTTATTATTTCGTCTGTTTATTTATTTCCTTGTTACAGAACTTCATCAATCTTCTACAAAAAAAAAAAAATTAAAACATTGAAGGTAAGATTCTCACACATAAAACCTTATTTGGTAGTATAAGAGAAACCTTTCCCTTATAAGGTTGTGTTTGGTTTGAAAGAAAAAGGTAGGAAAAGGAAGGGAAACCTGTACAAACCTTGTATAGGTTTCCATACCTTTTCCTTCAAACCAAACACAACCTAAGATTGATGAAAAAGAAAAACATTCTATTTTACTTCTTTTATTTGACAGAACATCATCAATCTTTTACATAACAAAATAACTAAGTAAACGAGTGAAGGTAAGGGTGGATATCATATAGAAGACCTTTGAAAGTAGAAGACAAACCATTGCCTAAGATAGTGTTCATCATCAAATGGACTAATAATCAAACCAAAATTGAGAATTAAACCACTAAATATACTTGCCTGAGGTGTACCGTTTTCATTTGTTTCAAGCCGATACTCATGCATAATCCAATCGGACTTTTGTCCATTTGGAGCTCGACCTTTATAAAAGACTAAGGTCTTTCTCATTCCAATCAAATTATGCTTAGAGTAAATAGCCTTGTCTCTTCCTGTTGCTTTCCAAAACCCTGCTGTTGTGGCTCTATTAGTGCGAGTTCCAGTTGGGTACTTCTTATCTTTATGGCTAAAAAAATACCACTCGTTCTGTTCTTCATTTCCTATCTTACATTTTTCTGTTCAGATCAACAATATAAGTAATGCCAACACTTACGAGATGGTCAATGAAATACAAAATGGGGTGAAATTCTGTTTACAAGAATTATTTGGGAAAATGGTCCTACCTTGAAGGTCCCATGGTTCTATCTTGTAGAGATCAATTTCTTTGATGACATCTAGGTCAATCTTTCTTGAAGCAACCTTTTTTCTAAGATAGTAATCAACTAGCTCTTCATCTGTTGGATGGAACCGGAAACCTGGAGGAACATGGGAAAAAGTATTCATGTTTTCCCTGCAAGGAACCGGAATCTGCAGTTAAAGTGGCACATATAGTCAGAATTTTATCCAAATGTCAGTTCAGAAAGGATGGAGAAGAGCAATTACAGAGCCTTTTCCCATTAATTCTAAGAAATGCTGACACTTACATATTTGAAGAGCTGTGTAATGTATTTAATAATACGAATAGGCAGTATCTTATAGAATTGAAAGCAAGATAAGAAGGTTGAAGAATATTCAAAAAATAGAACTTTTTTATCATATTATCTACAACAAACATGAGGGAACTTCTAGAAATGGATATAGCTTTCCAAAGTTACAAGAAGTTTTAGAGAACTGCTTAAATAAAATGGCCAATGTTTTATTAGGACTGAAGAGCAACTTCTGTGCATCAGTCTCCATCAATTACTCCTTTTTGTGCATTTGAAGAACGGAATGGTAAATCTTCAAAGCTCCAAAACACCCTACAGGACTTAATATACACATATATGCATGGGCTTTGTTTGAATAGAATGGTGAATCAGGATTGGTGTAGCCATTCTTTTCTTTAGGCTCAGTTTGGAAAGAGTACAAACATAACTATGAACAGTACAAATACATACAAAATGATATAAAATTCAAGGTTGTGCACTCTATATGTTTGTATTCTCAGTTTGGAAGGAGTACAAATGCAAATATGTACAATGCAAATACATATAAAATAATACAAAATACAAGATTTTGCACTCTACATATTTGTATTTGTACTCCTTCCAAACTGAGCCTTAAGTACAAATATAATCTGCCATGGAAAATCAATGACCACAACTATTTCAAGCTTCCAAGCAGTTGGACAGGACTCATGTGGACCCTGACGTCAGAATTTCATAACAAGGGAAAAAAATCAACCCTATGCTATATTGAAGTTTTGATCAATAAAAGGTATATAATAACCAAACCGGAAGGTGACCAAACCACAGTCCTCCTAAATAAGATATCTTTTTGGATGTAGAAACATGTGAGCTGCAATTTTGTCTTCCCATTTTATGAATGGGAAAGAAAATTTGTGGTGTCAAAGAAAATGGACAACATTTTTGAGGATGAAAATGATCTAGGTAAAGAAATAATTGATGAATTATCAGACCATATACCTTTAATTTAGCGAGAAACCCATGGATGTTTTAAAGCATTTAGCCCTTTCTTTTGTAGCTAATAGACCAATTGATCTAAACTGGAATTAAATAGATTTCAATGTTTTAAAGTATTTAGCCTTTACTTTTGTAGCTACTAGAAAATTATAATCTGCAAAAGAATTAAAGATTATGAAAAATTAGAATATTATATGTTTATGGCCTAACAAAATTTAAATGACACCCTTAATTTTGGAGTTCATTGTTGGGATAAATTTAATACATTTTTGGAAGAAATAAATTCTCTATCTTTTTATCAAGAAAATTGATTAATGATTACAAAATACTTGTTTAACAATACATGTTGCCCCAGATAGTCAAACAGCATAAATAGGCTGGTGCAGCCATAGAAAAATAAGTGGGAAAAAGGTTAGACAAGGATGATCACAATGAAGACAAAGGAAGTTATGGTAAGAATGCATAACAAGACATTGATCAAGTGCCCAAAATGAGTTAATTACTTAATTGGAACCAAAAGATCATATGCTAGCATTACTTATGCTTTTACTTCATTCCTGGTTTTTATAGAAGTGATTCTTGCATAACTAGAACAATGTTGTTTATTTTGTAAATTGGACATATTACTAGTTTTAGGCTTCTTATCAGAGTAACGGTATTTATGTAGACAAATGGATTAACTAAAACAATGATGATCAAGATGGGTTGTTCCAAAGAAAATACATATCATGTAGAAAGAACTCATATTTATGCACGCCTAGGAGCTCTATTTTGTACACAGTGCTAATCTTCAATTGGATAACTGAAGTTTAGTTCACTGATCTAATAAGTTTGTAGATGAAGAGCAACTGATTTTTATCATGAGTGCTAGACACAAATGGAGCAAAATAGGATCTAAGCAACATCTCCACAGGAGAATATACCATGAATGAGCCCAAAGCCATTTAGTTCTTCATCTACAAATTAGAAGGTTGTCTTTACATTTCCATCCAGGAGAGAACAACGAGACTAAGAAAGTCTAATTTGGTTTTGTTTGAGCTCATTCATGATTTATTAATGGCTAATGCCTAATAGAATGGAAAATCATCATCTTGCACCCCCCCCCCCGGGGATTTGAATACAGGCCTTACATTGTCCAAGATACTATCATATTGACAGAATCTGGTTCCGATCCACCTAATATAAAGCCCACTCTCAAATAAACTGAAATATGGAGTAAAAATAATGGTAGATGCTTCTAAGACTATTATCCCAAAACTTACAATATCTACAAGCTGTATTAATTAAACCTTGAGTAGCATTTTATCTCTTGTCTTCTCCTAGAGAAAACATCGTATCAGCAATTACTATTCACCCATATAAGTGGAGGAATGTTTCATACTGATATACATAACAACCAAATGATCTGTGTTGTTAGAAAGAACCAAAAAAAAATGAAAAAGAAAGATCAAATAGATTATATTATACGTCTGACTATCATAAGAAACCATTATTTCATCACTCTACAATTAACTCTATATAACAGTGCCTTAAAACATGCATGAGGCTTTCTTAGATACAATTTCTTTTCTCGCACGCCATATAGCAGTTAACTAAAGAGCAATATTGCTTTTGTTCCTAGGATCTATATCCAACTGAGCCATCATATATATCAATAAATAAAGCACTAAATAGCTAGAAAGGCAACATAACAATAGCACGACATGTTTCCATGAGTTCATAGTTTGAAAATTAAAAACTTTAATAGGCTAAAATATGGTGGAGACCATTTTCTAAAAAAAATAAGAATTATAAGAAAAAATATACAAGAATACATTTTATGGGTTACCTGATTTTGAACAACTCTTTTTGGTACATTTTCTGTACAATTTATACTTTTTTTTTTGTAAAAGGTGTATAATTTATTCAAGTGAGATCAAATGATGAATGATAGTTAGTGCATTCTATTGATTTCCAATCTATATATTGTGAAAGACACTTTCACCTATATAGCAGTTTTAGTATTGAAAATTTTCGACATAAAAAAGACAAAAAATATATATAACAATAAAATGAGACGTAAAAATGTAGTTGAAATTAACACTTTTGTTTCCTATCGTTGATGTCTTGCTATTATTTTTTGGTATGTCTAACTATTATTTCATTTATCGATTAATGTGATAACTCTAAGATGGATTTATCAAATACTTGGACTGCAATTAATCCTGCATTTGAACTAGCTTCCAAGAAAGTGATAGCTTTCTATCAAGCAAAAGATATAATCTGTGAGATGATCAAATAGGAGAATATGCGACTCGACTTTTATCTTTCAAAAAGATTATGTGACTAGTAACACCTGATCTTAATTGGTGCTACACTATTTTTGTTAAAGAAGTAAAAGCAAAAAATGAGGAAATAAAGAAGAAGAATAAAAAGGAAGAGGTGATGATACGTGTATTAGAGGTGTAAAGACTGTAGGATTTGACAAGTGAAATCATCAAAACCAAACTAAAACTATGTCAGTGTTGCGATCTTTCTGTATCAAAAAAACATCTATGGGCAATCAAGAACACCCAGGTTGAGCTTAATAGCAGATACGAAGCCGAAAATGTCAGAGATTTGAAGATCTACAAACTTGGGAATCCAACTCATGCTAAAACATCAAACATTAACAAATAAAAGAATCCAGATGCATCTTACATGAAGAAAACCCAGATGTGAAATGAAAGGAAGCAGGAAGAAAGAAGAGAGCTCACAGATCAAAAGTTTTAGCGTGAGTTGGATTTTCTTGTGCCAACTTAAGAGCCTCTTCAAAAGATCTGAGTCCGTCAACTCAACCTGGTTTCTTCAATCAGCAAACGATGGAAACTCTACGTACGATGGCTTTATCCTTCCAAATTTCTTCCAACTTTAAAGGATAGTACTATATGTATAACTGAAAACCAGACAAGAGGAAAACAAGGAAAAGAAAGAAGGAAGACAAGTTATCCTCGGGAGTTGAACCCTGAACCCCAGGAAAAAAACCTCTGTACTTGTAGTTGAAGTGTTAAGGTTGTCGGGCTATGGTTGAGGGATCAGATCCCGAGAAAGAATGTAGGTGCTTTTGTGGGGATGGAGGGGAGACAAAAATGGAAAGAAAGTAAAAGAGAAGGCAAGACTGAAGAATGGAAGAATGGAGAACAGGTAAGCTTAAATAACAGAGAGAAGCAAGCGAGAGCAAGCACACGCGCACACATAGACGGCTTTATAATCCATCATCTGAAAATCACACACATTCTCTCTCTCTCCCCTCTCATTATCTCTAAGTGGAGAGCTAGATTGCTGGAAAAGTTTCGGGCGGGAAAAAGGGAGAAGGAAATTTGGCCGGAGGAAAAGATCCTGCGTGGTGACAACCCCAACCGCTACTGATGGAGACCAGAATAGAATGTTCTTCTCTGAGCTTTCCAGTCTCTGTGCCAAATATGAAATATTTGCGATGAGAGAGTGAGAGAGAGCAACAAATATGGGCTGTTCCTGTTCGACGGAATATTAACAAACGGAGAACGTCAAAGGATCAAACTTAACGGCAATGTCTACTTCGCTTTCCTTAATAAAACCCTTCAGACCCACAAAAGCAATGAACAAAAATAATATTATTCCGTAGGATTTTGGTGGTGACGCAATTGTACATCCTCCCGCCAAAAGTTACACCTCTGTCCTCTGGGCTCTGCTCTCTCTGTCTCTGTCTCTGTCTCTCTTCTCTCTCTCTCTCTCTCTCTCGATAGCTATTGGTGGGCCCTATTTTGGTCTCTAACACCCTTTCTCCACTTAAAATAATTGCAAGCTGCTGTAGAAAAATATCATACAGAGCCTGTGATCTCAAAACAACCCTTCGTTTTGCCGTTGAATTACGAAAGTTTTTGAACGTATCAGTCCCCCTTCAAACATCCGATACGTTACCCCTCTCAGTGCTTCTCACTGTTATTATGATAAAGTATAACTGGGAATTATGGTGTTGAGAACTCAGCCGGTCCGTTCACTCAATTGTTACCACCTGCTAGCTGCTACCCCCGTTCGGAGGGTCACTGTTTTCAATCCGTTCTGTACTGCCTTTTCTCCTTTTGTTCTTTTATTAATTAATTAACAAGGGAAAAGAAAAAGAGTAGTGAGATGAGGGTATTTTAGGTAATAAAATATTGTTAACATTTCACCAGCAATGGCACGGGGAGCTCTGGTTGGTCGGTCTTCGATTTTTTTTTTGTTTTTTTTCGTATCTCTTGGCTCTTTGCTTGTCGAAGTGGGTCCCATTAACCGACCTACAGCGTAACGATAGAGACTCCCCTCCAAATAGAAACAAAAGCTTCCCCCCAAGGCCACAAGCTAAAGCCGCCCAAGCCGAAAAGCCGATGAGGCCTAGGCGGCTAGTCGGGACGGTGAGAGAACGCTCGGGTGAGTGTGTGTGTGGATGTGGTGGAATGTGGGACCCGCCCGACGGAATGATGCCCACGACTCTGTACGTGGCGGCTCATGGTCCGGCGTGGGCTACTCCCGAGTCCCGATCATTATTAAGCTCGCAATTTGGGTGCTGGCCGGTTGTGCATGTGGGCCCCGCTCTCCCGGCCCGACCTGGGGCCCATCTAGATGTGCTTTTTGGACAGGATGGATCGATGTAATTGCCCATTGGACGCGTTAGCTTCAATTTTGGAGCGTGCCGTACCGATAAATTAACCGACTCTCCAACTTTTCCTTTATATCGGCCCGGTTCGTCGCCGTTTGCCATGGAAAAATAAGGTAAAAAAAAACTACACAAACCAATTAACCAACCTTTTGTTATATATTTCCCTTATCAATCAAGTAAGTAAAGTGAAGCAAAAGTTTCGCACGTGATGCAATAGGCATCTCCGTCTCCATCCCCGTGATCAGGCCAAATTACCTTCAAATTCACTGTTTACTTCTCCATCATACCCGATACGTTAAGCAGAACCGGCCGAGACAACCAAAACGTATCGTATCAATATTATCAGTCATAGTAACTAAAAAAAATTTGTCCTGATGCAAATGAATTTGTAAAGATAGTGACAAGGAAAGACAACCAAAGAAGGTGTGGGGGTGGAGATTTAACCACGGCGGGTCCCGCTTTAAATCATTACGGATGTAAAGCCATCATTGTCTCCGTCCGCCACGTTCCGAGTGTGGGGAAACTCCGTTAAGATCCAACGTGGAGCCGTTTGGGTGGCTGAATTCGACCGCAAACGAAACGAGACCAATGCTGCTTCTCTAATACACCTTGGGCCCCACCAGGCCCTTCACTTGTTCTACCATCATGCCTACTACTCCAGTCTTATCCCTACGGTCGCGGAAGTCTTTTCGTTTTTTTTTTTTTTTGTGTGCTACAGGTAAGCCCACGTGGCAAATTCCGACTGGGTAGTCCACCACATATAAGAGAGCTTTAATTTTATTTTATTGAGGTGTGGTGATCGGGCGTGACCGAGAAGTACCATATAAAAGAATTAAATATTCACAGAAAGACCCTTTTAAAGTTAAGCTTTTTCGAGCTATACATATACAGTAATTTAATACTCGATTCTAGTGGCGCCTTTTTTGTATATTTTTGCAACTTTATACAAGGGTCAATGTATATACATTTTTGTTCCTACGAAGCGTATTGCATACTCCATCATACAGTGAGGTCATACAGTATATTTTAATGTACTATTTCCCATCAGCTTCAACAAATTAGTTTCAGAGGGCTTTTGATGTACAAGTGGATCATGGGACCCACGACCGTCCGATTGGTACTTTACAGCACATTGCTTGCTAGGAACTGCATCGATCATAGCCATCCGTTTTATAAGCATTCAATTCGGTGGACCGTAGCTGATATCGAGAATCAAGATCAGTGAACCAATTAGCTTGCAGTAGTATTACGGAGGAATCCTCCATAATGGTGAGGGAAATAAACGGACAGAGACGGAGACGGCAGTAGTTTATAAGCTAAAGACAGAGAGGTAAGTGGGGTGTGAAATGTAAATAGTGTTATAGTGGGGTGTGAAATGTAAATAGTATTATAGTGGGGAGAGAAGAAGAAGGCGTGAGAGAGAAAGAGAGGATGACAGTGTGTCGACACGACAAATTCAGTTTAGGGGGTCTCACGGTCACGGGCGAGACCACGCGGGAGACAAAACATCTATTTCAGATGATCCATGTCCAATTATATATACATATATATATATACACCAAGGTCTTTCCAACCATTATTAAGGTTGGCCCAATTCTAGCACGTGGTGATTACACTTGCTAGCGAGTTCAATCTCGGCGGCCTAGCTAGTTACACTTGGTTTTAACCGGTTCAACCACTGAACTATGATTCTATTGTATGGTGGGTAAAGTTTTGGCCCGCCCACTACATATGGACCCAAATGCCACTAAACCACAGAGTAAACATCCAAAAGCAATTCAAGAGTTTGGTAAGAGTTGCTATTTTAAGACCCAAAATTGAGGTTTCGCTCTTTTGGTCTTTGAAAGCACAAATCCTATCCAATACGGTTTTATGCTTTTAAAATCCAAAAAGTACAAAGCTTACAGATCCCGATTTTAGTTTAGTGTTTGGGTCTTAAAAGAGCTTTGCCTTCAGATTTTTATGTTCAAAAGTAATAGCTTTTATCAAACACTTTATAGTTTATCAAAGAAGGGCCCCATTCTAGAAGCTTGCTCATTACATTCAATATCTTCATCAGCCTTCTCGGTCTTCGAGCTATTTATTTGTTTCGGTAAGCAATTACTTATACCAAAATATGATCCTTGAGATTACTATAGGTTAAACACCTCTTTCTAATGTGGGTCTATGTAAGACTATCATATTCATTGTAAATTGCATGGTAAAAGTGATTTTGTGTAAATTAAAACAATACCGTTTATAAAATATTAATTCAGAACAGCAAAAAAGCGATTTCCAAATTGAGGGCCCCAGCCGTGAGCCGAACAGACCTTTGACCCCCAAATGTGCTCCGTGCTCGTCAACTCAGATTCTCTGACTTCCCAGACACCTCGAACAGTGTTTGTTGCACTAGCGCTGCGCTTAATGACTCTAATAATTACATTTTAAGTGCCCTGCTCTATGCTTATGTCGCTTTTATAATTAATAAATATAAGAGTGCGATTTTTTGTCTTTTATTTTTTTCTGGTAATTAATAGTGATTTTTGTTTGTCTTAAGGAATAAATACATGTGATCCCACCTGAAGATAAAACAATAATAAAATGGAGAATGATAGCGTTATGGTTTATATGTCCCCTTCAAGATAATAATACCAATTATAGCAATAATATATGAATAATAAATAAGAACAAATGAAGGTAAGAGAGTGTAACATAGAATAATTAGGACCATATTCCCTAGGTGTCATTAATTACAAATTAACATACATATCACCCAGCGTGTCCTAACTTGAATTATGACACCTGGAAAGATAATTAATAATGAAAAAAGAAATCCCAAGTAGACCTGTTCATGGGTCGGGTAGCCCGACAGCCCGGCCTGCACCCTGGTCAGGCTTGGTCATATAATTAGGCCCACGGGTTTGAGCTCGAACACAGTAAGCCCGACTGTGTTTCGGATCGGGCTTGGGATTTGTCAAAAAAGCCCAGTCTGAGCCCGACCCGGCCCGACTCAGTATTATATATTTTATAAAATATATAATATATATTTTATTCTTTTCTTTATAATTTCAATCTCTCTTTCTCTCTCTATTCAGCCGCTTCAACATTAATAATAGTAATAGTATAGGCTAAATTCCAGGCCCGGGCCTAGGCTCGAGCTTCAGGCTTTTTATGAGGGCCAACCTCAGGCCCAAGTTGTAGGCCCGATGATCGGGCCGGACTCAGGCTCGGGCCTTAGAAAAATTTGTTAATACACAGTAAAAGCCTGACCCGAGCTCGGCCCGGCCCGGCCCTGAAGAGGTCTAGTCCCAAGGTCTAGGTTGTATGTAGTGAATGATCGATACCACATGCATGATCCCATATTGTGAGTCCGTGACACATACACAAGAAAAACTTCCTAGTATATATATAGGTGATGAATTGAAGTATGTAATACTATCTTTGTTTATTTGAAAAAAAAAAATTAAAAAGATAGTCCACTTAATATTAAACTAATGAGGATATCTTAATTAATTCTTAATACCGTGTCAAATTTAAGGCGTTCAGCTGGTAAGAGTAAGATGGTTTTATTAAGAGCAAGAGGAAGAAAGAAATTCAATTTATTTGCCCAAAAATGCTCTTAATTTGTAACAAAATAAAGAAGGAAAACTTCCTACTTTACAATACAAAAGGCATCCTTCTATGCGGCCGGGCTTATTCAGTTAATGGCGAGTAACTTGGCCTAAAACTCGGTCAGAAACAGTGATGATGAAGGCAACTGGGAGTCTGCTGCAACCAAAGATCGCTCTACACACCCACCCGACGGTCAGATGCTTTATGCTTAGACAAAACCCAGAAGCCAACCTTCAACGAATAAAATTAAAGTAAAACTGCTCCAA